ATGTTCTGTGTTAACAGACGAGAATCTAAAAACGGATCTAAAGAACCCATTAGAACAACTTTTAATGTCCAAAGAACCATATATCCACAATACATCGAAGAAAAGAATAAGGTTCTTTGAACCATGAAGAATCTTCACTTTTAAGAATGTTCTTCTGTCTTTGGCCTCTGTTATTTACATAGATCAACATGCATGTCCCTTTTTAATGTATGTATTAAATCATTGCATGCGTAATTACACCAGCAATGAATGGAAAAACTAGAACGATTTACAAAGATTTATACTCTAGAGATATTTCATCAACTTTTACCCTTTTTACAGGTAAATAAAATATTTTTTCTTACATGTAAACTCCGTTAATCGCAGCACTGCGTCCACGCATTTTCCATTTATTGCGCTGATGTAAATCCAAAATCCCAATCTGATCCATGATGGGTAGGTACAACGTAATATATATTCCGCATAGGACTTTTCAGACTGTCTCTGCTGCTGTAGGTACATAGATTTTTACTGAAATCTGGATTCCGCACAGATGCATCACTCTCAAATCCCACGCAACGCTCATTTTACGCGCTCCGAACTTAAAGTTTAACTATATTTTCCCAGCATCCATATAAAAAGAACTCTGTATCCCAACGTCGTCCGTGATTGCAGGACACCAGAGTGCATTTTTAGCCCATTTGCAAATGTCTCCAGTTTATTTGGCGCACAACAGCAGTTTGCGCGTCTCTCTGAGCGCAGGAACTGGTGCCAAACACCCTGCGCGCCCTTGAGCTGCGCTGCCGGATTACGCACATCATAACCAAACATTTGCGCACGCCAAATGAGTTCAACCGCAAGAAAATATGACTCTACGGCTCTTTTATTACACGTATCCATTGTATTATGTGTTTATTGACTGGTTTACAACTCTGAGTTCACTTCGGGCGCAACTGGTTAGACACAGTATTTTTAAAGAGATAGTTCACCCAAAAATGAAAATTCTGTCATCATTTACTCACCCTCATGTCGTTCCAAACCTGTATGAGTTGCTTTCTTATGTTGAACATAAAAGAAGATATTTTGAAAATTGCTGGTAATGGTAGTAGGAAGAAAAGAAGACTATGGAAGTCAATGGCAACCACCAACTGTTTGATTACCAGCAATCTTCAAAATATCTTCTTTTATGTTCAACATAAGAAAGCAACTCATACAGGTTTGGAACGGGCATTTTATTGGCCAGACTGCACTCTAATGATAAAATCATTAGAATCAACATCTGCTTGAAACAAATCAAACCTCAATATACAGGTACATCTAAAAAAATTAGAATTGAATTTTGGGTTTTCATTATCTGTAAGCCATAATCATCAAAATTTCAAGAAATAAAGGCTTGAAATATTTCACTCTGTGTAATGAATCTATATAATATATGGGTTTCACTTTCTGAAATGAGTGACAAAAAATATTGACCTTTTTCATGATATTCTAATTTTTTGAGATGTACCTGTAATGCTTAGCAATCCATTCTTACACTGTTTAAAAAAAAAGCATTATAACATGCTCTAACTTTAAATTATTACAGTATACGGTTTAAAATTTATAATGCATTGTAAGGCATTATGAATCATTTTAATGCAGTAGAAAACATTTATTTATTTATTTTTACTGTGATTTCAGAAAGAAATGACAGTCCTTTCCTCCAAAAATCATTAAACTCACAACAACGCAATTGCTAGCTTTCACTGATTTCTCACTGTTCTGACTGGCGTGATAAAACCAACAGATCCATTAAGGATCATTAAATGGGATGTAGAGTGCTGTCCCATAATGCATATCCATGTATCCATGCATTATATCCATGTCCTCCCTGCAGGCCATCTGAATTAGCTGCTAAACTCCAACCGATGAGAGACAAGTGAGGACAGAGAACCAGTTGGGTTCAAACACTCAACACAGAGAAATATATCCTCCTTTACATTAGTGCATATAGCAGATTGTTTTGTCCAAAGTGCATTCAAGGTACAGAGATTAAACCTGCAACCTCTGCATCACAAGGGGTTTTGTAGCAAATAGAAGGACCATTTTGGTTCCCCAAAGAACGTTTTGACGTTACATTTCTGTAAATCTGTAAACAGGGAACGTTCTCAAATAACATTCTGGCATGGTTCTCTCAATGATACGAACAAATGTTCTTTTTGCAATGTTAATCGATCAGTTGTCTGGTCTTTGATTATGTTCTCATGAAGGTAACACAAAAATGTTAATGATATTGTTCATAGATCTTTCTATGAAATGCATTAGTTGAACGTTAATGTACTTTTTTTTTTTTTTTTAAATGTAACTACATTCACAAAACATTCATAGGTAATAATCACAAAATGTTTGTAAAATTATTAAATGGATTGTTCCCCTAGCATTCGTGTAACCAAGAAAACCCATTTTTAAATCATAAACTGCATGGGCATTAAACTGGATGTTCAAAAATAATGTTTTCATAACTTCTCAGACATTCTTAGAACATTTTGTTAGTTGCGAAGAACCCTTTTGTGGAATGGAAAGGTTCCATGGATGATAAAGGTTCTTTATAGAACCATAGATGCCAATAAAGAACCTTTAAGAGCGTAGAATCAGGCTCTAGCAGTTGTTTTGCAAAAGGTGAAAAAGTCACCATAAGGTCAACAAACATTTGACATTAGTTTTCAGGTTGGATTCACTGTTTACAGAACAGTTACTGTTCATGAAACCAATCAGCACTGCAGTTGTGCGAATTAAGATGAATTTGATACTGTCTCTGAATTTGGATTGAATTTGACTGAAGCGGACACGAACAAACTCTCATGATCATGTTTTCCATCAGAGCATCTTGTGCTCCAGTGGAAGAACATCTTACTCTCTTTACAAATGCTTATTTACTTACATTAGTGGTAAGCATCTTTTGTGCACGTTTTTTTTTTCTTTTTTCTTCAATATACATGCTTTTCTTTGTTTTAAATGGTTCTAAATCCTCAAATCTCTCAACTTATCTCCAAGTTGAATTGAAAAGGAAATCCAATATTTTCGATGTGGACTTACTATATGTTCTGTGTTAACAGACGAGAATCTAAAAACGGATCTAAAGAACCCATTAGAACAACTTTTAATGTCCAAAGAACCATATATCCACAATACATCGAAGAAAAGAATAAGGTTCTTTGAACCATGAAGAATCTTCACTTTTAAGAATGTTCTTCTGTCTTTGGCCTCTGTTATTTACATAGATCAACATGCATGTCCCTTTTTAATGTATGTATTAAATCATTGCATGCGTAATTACACCAGCAATGAATGGAAAAACTAGAACGATTTACAAAGATTTATACTCTAGAGATATTTCATCAACTTTTACCCTTTTTACAGGTAAATAAAATATTTTTTCTTACATGTAAACTCCGTTAATCGCAGCACTGCGTCCACGCATTTTCCATTTATTGCGCTGATGTAAATCCAAAATCCCAATCTGATCCATGATGGGTAGGTACAACGTAATATATATTCCGCATAGGACTTTTCAGACTGTCTCTGCTGCTGTAGGTACATAGATTTTCACTGAAATCTGGATTCCGCACAGATGCATCACTGTCAAATCCCACGCAACGCTCATTTTACGCGCTCCGAATTTAAAGTTTAACTATATTTTCCCAGCATCCATATAAAAAGAACTCTGTATCCCAACGTCGTCCGTGATTGCAGGACACCAGAGTGCATTTTTAGCCCATTTGCAAATGTCTCCAGTTTATTTGGCGCACAACAGCAGTTTGCGCGTCTCTCTGAGCGCAGGAACTGGTGCCAAACACCCTGCGCGCCCTTGAGCTGCGCTGCCGGATTACGCACATCATAACCAAACATTTGCGCACGCCAAATGAGTTCAACCGCAAGAAAATATGACTCTACGGCTCTTTTATTACACGTATCCATTGTATTATGTGTTTATTGACTGGTTTACAACTCTGAGTTCACTTCGGGCGCAACTGGTTAGACACAGTATTTTTAAAGAGATAGTTCACCCAAAAATGAAAATTCTGTCATCATTTACTCACCCTCATGTCGTTCCAAACCTGTATGAGTTGCTTTCTTATGTTGAACATAAAAGAAGATATTTTGAAAATTGCTGGTAATGGTAGTAGGAAGAAAAGAAGACTATGGAAGTCAATGGCAACCACCAACTGTTTGATTACCAGCAATCTTCAAAATATCTTCTTTTATGTTCAACATAAGAAAGCAACTCATACAGGTTTGGAACGACATGAGGGTGAGTAAATGATGACAGAATTTTCATTTTTGGGTGAACTATCTCTTTAACGTCAGGATTTGTGCTTCCAGTCTGTCTTATAACCATCAAAGGTGCTGGTAATCAAACAGTTGGTGGTTGCCATTGACTTCCATAGTCTTCTTTTCTTCCTACTACCATTACCAGCAATTTTCAAAATATCTTCTTTTATGTTCAACATAAGAAAGCAACTCATACAGGTTTGGAACGGCATGAGGGTGAGTAAATGATGACAGAATTTTCATTTTTGGGTGAACTATCCCTTTAACGTCAGGATTTGTGCTTCCAGTCTGTTTTATAACCATCAAAGGTCGTAAATCTATGTCTGTTTACATTTTCTAAAGGTTGCAATCAACTATTTAGTCTATTTTAGTACAAACGATCGCCCCCAAAACACTTCTGATTTACTTTCCTCCATGACATGAATATTACAGCTTGTATTATTTTAAGAAGAAGCAGCATTAAAAACTCTTTCCTGTTTAAGAATTGATTTATTATCCAGCTTCTCCCTCTAGTGGCCTCGATGTGTAGTTCTACTTTTAATATATAAACCACCTTTCTCTCCTTAGCACCTTCCGGTTTATAACAAATCTCTGCATACTATTCATATTCATATTATTACCCTACTTGTATTATTCTATAAATATGTAATTCTTTATCTTGTCTACAATTGCCTTCTCTAGTCGCTTGTAATACCGACGCTCTGCCGGTGGTGGCAGCACCGCGGCGCGTGAGTGACTGATATACACACAGCGTTTGACGTCGAGGAAGAAGAAGAAGAAGAAGCGTCCTGCGCGCTTAGTGTACAAACGCACAGCTGAGCAGTAATTAGTCGTTTTTAGTTTACATTTTAGTCAATTAAAGAAAGCAATGTCGGAAAGAAAAGTTTTGAATGTAAGTACTTCCTTTTTTAATTTTTATATTATTGTTGTGTACCGGTTTACATACAAATACTTAGTTATTTGAGTAGTAATATCAGCATGCTAATGAAGTAACGTTAGCTAAGTTAAATAAGTCATGTGAATTCGTTTTCCTAATTTACTGTGTGATGTTTTCGATGTTCATAACGTACATATATGTTGAAATAATCTTGAATACACCTCCTGAGGTAAACCTTTAAAGAAGTTTCTGTTTACAAAGGTCATTACTGTGGTAAACTGTCACCTTACAGCATCTGTTCTTGTTTTTTCTCAGAAATACTATCCTCCGGATTTTGATCCGTCTAAAATCCCTAAACTCAAACTGCCCAAAGACCGTCAGTATGTGGTCAGACTGATGGCACCATTTAATATGAGGTATGTTTTATGTTGTATGTATATATTGGATATTTGTTCTTGCAGGTTTTAAATAAATACATGCTTTTAGAAATTAATAATATGCAATAATAATAATAATTTTAGAAAGCTTCTCAACTAAGGATAGTGGAGCAAATGTTTCTGAGCAAAAAAAAAAAAGACTATTATACATTTTTACCACGTTTTACAGAAAACCGTGTTATTCATTGTAACAATAGTTTGTATAAAAAATTTGTCGAACAAAAAAATTAAATGACATTAAAAGACTCTATTTAAGGATGACAGCGCAGCCCCAAAATGTTAAATCTTCTGCCAATATCTTTCAAACCACTAGGTTTTTCCCATTTGTCAGTGAGAAGATATTAATAAATTAAAATATAATAGATTTTACTGATTCATTTATATATTTTATATAAGTACAGGTCAGAAAAAGTATGCTATTTTATTTTTACATAAATATATCTGTTACACTGAATGACGATGGAACATAATTTCACCCATATTTTGAAGGTTTTTTTTTTCTTCAGAGAAGTTATTTGAAACAAAAGTAGACACTTTATTTGCATTTAATATGCTTTATGTGTATATAAAAAATTTAATTTAATTTGATGTAGACACAAGAATAGGAGGATGTCTCTTCTTTGACCAATATATATCACTGCAAAAACAAGATAGGAAATTATCAATTAAATACAACAAGCTAAGTATATTAAATGTGAAACGATTTTTAACAGTGAAAATTCTCTTGATTTCTCTAGTAGTGAGGAAAACATCTGGATTTTGATTTATTAGAGATTATATCGTCTTTGAGACAATAATGCTTGTTGGTACACAGGTGTAAAACGTGTGGAGAGTACATTTACAAAGGGAAGAAGTTCAATGCCCGTAAGGAGACCGTTCAGAACGAACTGTACCTGGGGCTTCCCATTTTCAGATTCTACATTAAATGCACCAGATGCTTGGCTGAGATCACTTTCAAGGTACTAGAATAAACACGCACATCATACTCTTTAAAACCAGCACACAAACACTTGAGTTTTTAATTGTTAGTCTTGTGTGTTTGTTTAGTTGCACTTCGTCTGATTGCTGTGTTTCACAGACAGATCCAGAGAGCACAGATTACGCAATGGAACATGGTGCAACAAGAAATTTTCAGGCTGAGAAACTGATTGAAGAGGAGGAGAAAAAGGTCCAACAAGAGCGAGAGGAAGAGGAACTCAATAACCCCATGAAGGTCTGATAGAAACTTTAAAGACTACATGTGTGTTTTATGATATTAGAAGTTTTGTTAGGGATTTATATAGTTTTGCTATTTGTGATTAATTTTTTCCATTTTCAAGAGTTTTTTTTTTTTTTTTTGACAAAAGCTTTATTTTTTTATTTTATTTTTTTTATAAATGTTTTTCACATTTAATACATAAAGTCTTTACAGCATCTTTGTAAGGAAGCAAACAAAAGCCCATGCAAACTTAAAACACAACTCCCTGAATGCTGTCACAGGTCCTGGAGAACCGCACACGGGACTCAAAGTTGGAGATGGAGGTGCTGGAGAACCTGCAGGAGCTGAAGGAGCTGAACCAGAGGCAGGCGCAGGTGGACTTTGAGGGCATGCTGGACCAGTATAAAGAGATGGAGCGGAGACAGAGAGAAAGAGATCAGGAGGAAGATGAACGAGAGACCAAGTAAGAAACGTTTGAACTATTTGAAGCATTTGGCCATTTTGCTTCATACACTATATGTTGGATTTTGAGATTTTAAAAATGCATTGGTCACATTACAGGTTCATTTAAAGTCAGTGTGAACCGGAAGTTGCTGCCGACTTTATGTCAGTATGGTGACGTATTTCCAACTGAAACATAATATGTTTTGTTTTAGTGCTCCTCCTCTGTCTCTCGCTCATAGCAACCTAATGGTTGGAGGGGTGTGGTTAAGGATGACATCATCAGAGAAGGAATGCCATTCCAGAGTTGAAGCAAATGTTCAGATTTTGATGAAAGATTACCAAGACAAAAAAACACAAAAATGACCAGGGGTCATTTAATTATCTGTAAATTGAATATATTGTTTACCCATTGAAGAAAATAAAAAGTATGAATCATAAAAAAAAAAAAGACCAGGGGTAGAGGAGGGAGTTAGTGTGACTTGTAGTGACTTGTAATAAGCACTTATTAACAAAAGAGAAATTTTAAGGGTTCCCTGAAATTTTCCGTCAATAGAAATTAGATGATTAAATGTTCAAAATGTTAAATTCATGAGAATGAAAAATTCATATTGTGTAGCCCTACAAACAAGCAAAGCAAACCTGTATTTTTTTTTTAAATCAGGTTTTAATCATGATTTTTTCCCCCTTAAAATCGTGCGGCTGTAGATTGCTGCATCTAAAATATGCTTTATGTGCAAAATGTAAATATTCCTATGTGTTAACTTAAAAAGTTGATGTTTTTTGATAATTGTGTCCATATTGTTTACCGTGTACATTTGCATATCACAATAATTGTACCTTTATGGGGTCATATGCATTCACAGTGAAAGTATTTTTTTTCCAAAGCATGTAATGTCAAGATTAAGAAGCATAAATTATATAATATAGTGTGGTTTAGACTTCTCTTTTCTCTTGCTCCACATAGAGAGATGTTGGAGAGAGCTCTGGTCAAACGACTGAGGGACTCGGACTCTGAAGAAGAGACAGAAGATGCAAAAGACCAAAGCAGGAAACACACGGCTGATAAACCCACAGACATCCTCACCACAGACAGGGACACAGGACCACAGGTGGAGAGAAAGACAGCAGCCTCCACCTCATTAGATTCAAATCTAACTTGTTTTATTTGACATTGACATATTTTTTACATTTTATTTTGGTCACTTTTATTAATTATGATTTGGAAAAAGTCTTAGATATTACCTTAGATTTTTTTTAATACATGCTTCTGGATACTCCACTGTGATTGGTCAGTTGCGACATGCTGCAATCAAGTATTATCGTCATTGTTGCTCTCAGGCAAATAATTTCCTACGTAGCTGTGCTAGTTTCGTGTTTCTCATATCACTCCACACTCGATCTTCTCACATAATAATTTCAGCTCAAATCAGTATTTCATATCCATTTGTTTATTTATCACAATAAATATTAACCAGGATAATATTCAGCCAGGCATTGCTGCAAAATAAACACTCACAAGGATTGTTGACTGTACAAAAATCAATTGTTCTTTTAGCTTACGTGTGTTTTTCTGTTGTCTTTCTGTTCATCAAACGCCCCGTCTGTTTCTCTCATTAATGTTTATGCTGGTTTCCTCCTGATCTCCACAGGGATCATCATCTGTGGGCGTTAAGAAACAGAAGGTGGAGAGCTGGGAGAGGAGTGTCGGAGGTCTGGGTGGGAAGGGAGCTCTGGGGTCTCTGGTGGTGAGGAAGAAACCAGCCGATTCTGCCTGTAAACCTGCTGCCGTTGCACCACGACAGGCTGCTGACACACAAACAGGTTCGTGATGATCATGATTTGCTGCTCATGAAACATTTCTGGTTATTAGCAATGTTGAAAACAGTTGTGCTGCTTCATATTTTAGTGGAAACTGTGATTTTTATTTATTTATTTTTTTCAAGATCCTTATCTCTACAAAAAAAAAAAAACTTTCTGACCCCAGATTTTTAAATGGTGGGGTATATATAAACTTTAATAAAAATAAATATGTCTGTGTATGAATTTAATAAACCAAAATTGTAATTGAATGATTATTTATTAACATTATTACCTCTATAAAAATAATAATTATATATTTATTATTATTTAATAAACAAAAATGAATTATTTTATCATTAACCTTTTTTATTGTTTTACTAATATAAATTGTATTAATATAACTAATAAATAGACATTTTAATTATTATTATTTAATAAATCTAAACTGCAATTTTGTTTTATTTATATAGTTAATAGATAGATATTTATTATTTAATAAACCAAAATGGCAGTGGATGTATATCAGGATATCAGGAGTTATTATTATTATTTCTCTAGAATCAAGGAATGGTACAGC